GTGTTTTCCCGATGATGTTGAAGTCATCGGTGGCTGCCGCGACTATGGTGGATTTGTCTCGACTGATGAACACGGCTTGGTCGGCTTGCAGAACTGTATACCCGAGCGAGATGAATGTGTCGCGGAGTTTGATGTACCAGCTTCTGCCGCCTTGTTTGGTGCCGTACAAGCTCTTTTTGAGCCTACAGACGAGTCGTTGTCCAGATGAGACGGAGGGGAGAGGTTTAGAGCTAAATTTCTCGTAGAATTCTGGGATTGCCATATAAATTGTTTCGTCAAGCGGCGCATTGAGGTACGCATTTTTGACGTCGGCTTGATGGATTTCCCAGTCTTCGGTTGCGGCGAAAGTGAGGAGAACACGCAATGTCGCGTGGCGTACAACGGGTGCATAGGTATCCGTGTAATTTATGCCGTATACTTGAGTTTTCCCGTTGGCCACGAGTCTGACTTTGTGCTTGAGAATTGCATTGAATGCGTCGCGTTTGATTGTAAGGACGTAGTGACACCGGATGATATTGGCCCCAACAGGAGCTGTAACAATCTCCCAGGTATCGAGTTTCTCGAGTTGAGTGAACTCGGCCTGAGCAGCTGCCATCCAGTGTTTGCCATCAACGCCTTTGATCGCTTCGCGCAAACTCGTGGGCACATTCTCTGTCACCATCGCAAACTCGACAACCTGGCTGCAAAGCGCCGTCACCTCGGCGTCCAGCTCAAGCTCGTCGTCGTCGCTCTCTTCCCCCAAAATCTCGAACATGGCCGCCACATCCTCCGTGCCAAGATCCGCAACTTTGCCCTCATTCAGCTTGTGATAGTAGCCGGGCGGTTTTCTCGTGCGGTGGCCACGTCCCGTATTCGGCTCGGGCTCAATTAGGCCGTCGCTTCGTGGTTTTCGGGCGTGTGGAGGTGGTGGTGTGGGCACAACAGATGAAGGCGGGTTTTCCGGTGGCGCGGGGTTAGGTTCCGGGGATGGTGTCTTGCAGAGATTTTCAGGGATTGTAGGCTCGATGGAATCGGTGAGCCCCTCGTTTGATTGATTCCCTGTATCCCCTGCACCTGTGGACACTGTTTTCGAACGGTTTGAAGCGGGTGGGGCCTCGGGAGTTGCGAGAATGTCACCATCATCCCACTCCCCCTCAATCGAGGCATTCCCGGGCTCTGTGGCCGCTTTTTCGTCGAAATACACGTCGCGTTCCACCGTTACCCTTCGCTTACCCGGCCAATAGACACGGATCCCCTTCGACTCATCGTCGTAGCCCATGAAACGCACTTCGGTCGCATGTTTTTCAAGATCTTTCGCGCCTTTGATTTTTACCCAGATCCGTGTCCCCCACAGGAGCAGCTTTGATAGGTTAGGCACATTCTTCGTCGCTTCTTGCTTGGGACTGATCTGATCGGGTAGTGCGGTTGTCGGCGTCCGATTTCGGAGCCAGATTGAATGGCGCCAGGCTTCGCCCCACAGAAACTTTGGCAGTCCGGACTCGATTAACATTGATCGTGTCTGTTCAATGTGCGTCCGGTTTGCTCGTTCTGCTATGCCGTTCTGACTGGGCGTGTCATGCACCGTTAGATGCCGAATTGCTCCCCCTTTGGCCAAGTGGTTATTGAATTCCTCGGAGGTAAATTCCCCTCCTCGGTCTGATCCCAGTACCTTAATGACGGCCCCCTTTCGCTGCACCTTCACCCAGGCTTCGTAGTTGCGGAAGTTCTCCAACGCGTCAGATTTGGCTTTCAAGAAATAGCCCTTTTCCTCGTGCGTGGATAAATCCATGGGTGTCATCGCGTAGCGGGCGCCTCCGAGAGATGTAACTGACATGGGACCTTTCAGATCGACTACCACTTTGCCGCCGTACTCTTTCGGCCGTTCGCTCGTCGCCACTCGCGAGATCGGCTGCCGCGCTGCCTTCGCTTGCACACAAACGTCGCAGAACTGGGGCTTGGATGACAGGTCGAGCTTGACGCCCGTTATCTTGCCGTCCTTGACTGCCCGCAGTAATGCGTTCTGGTCTGCGTGGCCCATCAATATGTGGAATTGAAAGATGGTTAACTGATGCGATGCAGCGTAGGCACCTTCCACCATGCTTGCGATCTTTTCTGATCCGCTTGCACGATAGAGGCCGCGCACCAATGGGAAGATCGCGATTGTCTTGCGTGTGGGTTTGGGGGTCATGATCGTGCAAGTCCCGTCCTCGACATGGAGCGCGTAGCCACCGCGGTCGAGCGTACTGACGGAGATGAGTGTATAGGCCATATGGGGTGAGTAATAAGTGCTTTTAAAGGTTGCGCGCGTCGGTTTCTGATCACCCATGGGGAGGTAGGTGTTATAGTCGCCTTTGCCGATCGCGTCGAAGCTTCGGCCATCTGCCGCGCGGATGGGTACAGGAGGTATCTCCTTGTAGTTGGTGAAGTTTTCCCGGTCGGGGGAGAAGTGCCGAGTGGCACCGCCATCGACTATCATGTCGGGGCGGTTCGGGTGAGATGCAGCGAGAGCCTCGTCATCGTGGAAGTCGTAGGAGACGTTCAGCGCGACGTTTTCGTCGTCTTCGTCGTCCTCAATCCCGATCAGCAACGCAACGTTCTCGGTGTCATCCGTCGCGGCTGCCGCCTTCTCTTTCTTCTTCTCGGCCTCCTGGTGCTTCAAGAACCATTGCGGGGGATTCTTCTCCTTCCCGCCACCCTTCGCGAAGCAGTTCGCTTTGGTATGACCCTTTTTGTCGCAATTTTTACACCGCTGATCCTTGTCGGCCTTTTTAGCATCCTTTTTACCCTTGCCCTTCTTCGCTGCCGACATCGCCGCGTTTTCATTCTCGCGGTCAATCTCCTTGTCCACGGTCCGGCTCAAGTATTCATTTGTTAGTTCCTGAATCAAGAGCGCGCTGTCAACGTGGCGTGGTGGAACGGAGAGTCGGGCGGCGGTTGTGATGGTCGTTAGGAGGGTGCGGTAGTGCTCGGGGATGGACGCGCGGATGTATGCGCCAAATTGGAGGTCGGACAGTGGGTTACCGCCTTTTTGGAGTACGTCCTTGAGTTCTGACATCTCCATCAGGTGCTTTTGCAGATCGCCGTCATCGTCACACCACATTTGCTGCAGCTTGGTGAGTACGTTCATCTGAACCATATCACCCTGGTGCTCATTTAGCTGAACGAGCTTTTCCCAGACTGCGCGTGCCGTGGCTTCGTTTTTGACTTGTGCGAATCGCGTAGGGCTAATGGTTTGGTAAATGATGTTGCGTAGCTTCGACTCCTTTGTATCATAGTCGTCCTGCTTTTTCTCGTGCGCTTCCAGTTCGTCGTCGTCTAATGGATTGTTGTTGCCAACTATGAACCAATCGCCGACGGCGTCCTGAGTAAGCTCGGCTGGTTTTCGTGCGGTACCGGTGAGATGGCGTCCCAACCCCTTCGACTTCGCGTGGGTCGTTATCCGCTCGGAGTAATTGATCCAGTTAGCTGAATCATCTCGGAGAACCGGAAGGGTGGGTTTTCGTTCATCTATGTCCGTAGTACCGGGGCCCATAACCTGTGAAGATTCGGTAGATCACCAGACGAGAATCAAGCAAATGCGACTGGAGGGATTCGGAAGACTCAGTAGTGCGTAGGCAAAACTCTTATATTATGTACCTGGAGGGATTCGGAACTACAGTACAGTAAGTATAGGTGAACTACATTGATAATAGGACTTACGACTCAGTAGTGCGTAGGCAAAACTGAGACGTAAATATTTGTACAACGGTAAGTATTAGTACGCCGGAAATTTCAGAAATGATCATAGTACAACATAGATCTTTCACCTGACCGTGGGGGTCTCAACATACAGCGCCCTGAAGGCGCGGGACAGCGAATATTTCGCTTCCCCGTTAAACACTGTAAACATGATTTCCTTGTATTCGAAAGGCTCAGGAAGACTCTGGGATTTTGGTCAGTTTTAGAGGAAGAGATAGCGAGCAAGACATCGAATGTAGTGTACGGTGCACCGCTGCGTCTCTTACTGGAAACCTGGCGTACAAGCAGCAAGACGGGGTTCGACTCCCCGCACCCGAATGTGACGGAATGTTCCTTGTCTTTTCTTTCAAACAGGTAACAATGGAGCTCACTTACAGGGTCCTTATACAGAGCAAGGAATCGGGTGTGGTGCACGGCGCACCGCTGCAGTGATTTCGAGTGCACTTCGTTAAAGCAGCTGGACGGGGTTCGACTCCCCGCGCCCGTATTTTTATTATTAAAACATCAGCCATTCGAGGAAATTTCGGTGGCTGAACGAGGTACGGATACAACAAGCAGGTACTGGGTGTGGTGTACGGTGCACCGCTACTGCAAATCAAGCAAGAGAGATTTGTGTAGAGCGAGATGGGGTTCGACTCCCCGCACCCGAATAGGATGTCTACACCTGGGCTTTTTTGTAACGGGTTGTTCGAACCGAGAGTATAACATCACCTGGGGAGGTTGCAAACTCACAATACAAAGGCTATAATCGGGTGTGGTGTACGGCGTACCGCTGCTGTAAATCAATGACGAGAGATTTGTGTTTAGAGCGAGGCGGGGTTCGACTCTCGCATCCGAATGCGATGAAGTTTTGAATTCTTTTCTTTCAAACAGGTATCACATGGAGGTGGTTTACAAGGTTCATGTACAGAGGAAAGGATCGGGTGTGGTGTACGGCGCGCCGCTGTAGCCATTGTAATTGGGCTATATTTCAGTGAGCAGAGAGACGGGGTTCGATTCCCCGCACCCGACTGCATGCAGTCAAAGACTTTTATTAAAACCTCAGCCATTCGACAAAATCCTGGTGGCTTAGCGAGGTACGTATACAAGCAGGTACTCGGGTGTGGTGTACGGCGCACCGCTGCCTCTCTTCACCAGAAGTTGTTCTCGAAACTTGAAGCAGCAAGACGCGGTTCGACTCCCGCACCCGAATGCGGTTCAAACGAGTTTTCCTTTTTTTTTCGAAAGGCTCAGGAAGCTCCTGGAGTTTGATCATCTGTAGAGGGGTGCAGGCAGGGATGGAATCGGGTGTAGTGTACGGAGCACCGCTGCCTCTTTTAGGAGGGCCCCTTCATCCCAGCAGCAAGCCGGGGTTCGACTCCCCGCGGCCGAATGTCCAGGGTGCGTCCGTTTTTATTGTAGGCTGGAGAACTTGGAGCAGATCCGATGAAGCTCAGTTAACAAGGGACAGATAAACATGGTAGGTACTCGGGTGTGGTGTACGGCGCACCGCTGCCTCTCTTTGGAAATCTTTGACATTCCAGCAGCAAGCCGGGGTTCAACTCCCCGCACCCGAATAGGTACACGTTTTCTTTCATTTTATTTGGAAGCTCGGGAGGACTGTGGGATTTCGGTCACTCAGAGAGGTACAGATACAGAGTAAGGAACCGGGTGTGGTGTACGGTGCACAGCTGCTACAATTGGGGTGACAATGGTCCGGGAAGCTTGATGCCGCCAGATGGGGTTCGACTCCCCGCGCCCGAATGCGTCAATGCTATATTTTTTCCTTCAATTCGACAGTCACCCGTCACCGGGGTGCTTGTCGAGTGTGGGGAGCTTTGGCAAGTGTCACGCGTCACCGCGGTCAGTTCTCGAATAACTTTTCGGGTTCAAAAAATTCCTCAGAAATGCCAGTGCCTATTTCACTCGAGAAGTTCGCCAAAAGCGCTCCGGAGGACGTTCTACACTCGAAAGAAGCAGATCGAGTTTTCTTCCATATTTGGGACCTCGCTGTCGAAATTTTGCCCCAAGTCACGGTCAACTCGGCGGGTTGTCAAAGTGTCAAATTGTCACGCGTCACCCCCCTTGTCGAATTGAACGAAAAAATACAGTATTGCACCAATGCGTCGATATTGCACGTTTTTTTCATCTTTTTTTTTGAAGGCTCAGGAGGCCCTGGAAGTTCGGTCACTGGGGGAGGTACAGATAGAGAGAAGAGACTCGGGTGTGGTGTACGGTGCACCGCTGCCTCTCTTAGGGAATCCCCGTCGTTGAAGCAGCTAGACGGGGTTCGAGTCCCCGCACTCGAATTAGCGGATATTCTGCATATTTCTCTTCATTTTATTTGGAAGACTCAGGAATTTTGGTCACTTAGAGAGGTACAAATGCAGAGCAAAAGACTCGGGTGTGGTGTATGGTGCACAGTTGCAAATATTGAAGTGAGAATGTTGATCATGCAGCGAGACGGGGTTCGACTCTCCGCACCCGAATGTGTCTGGAGGTCTTTTCATTTTATGAGGCTCCCTAAAACCCGACACAGCGACACGGCGCCAGACCTTCAGCAATTCCGACACAGCTTAAGAAATACGACACACCCACCTGATTCCCATTAATTCCGACACATCCCCAGCTTTCCACACCAGAGTCATTCCCTTGTACGCTCTTCAAGTTGATCTGATGGGATACTTGATCGCTGATGCCAACATTAACCGTTCTTTAACGAGATGCTCGTTCGGCTGTGTACTTTCCCCTTTCCCCAACCTCACCTCTACCGCTGCCTCTTACTCCTTTTGTGATCGGTGCCTGTAATAATACCATTCACTTCCAACTGCGAAATCATGCTGCGCCGCAAGTAGGACACTGAGCGCAGTCGAGATTGTGTCCTTTCAAGACCTCTGTTCTCACTGCGGCCAATTCACCGCCAGGTCCGATGTTGAACCGGCCCTCCGGGCCACTGAATCTAGACCCATTTCGGACGACTGGTGATGGGAGGGGAGGTGCGCAGTCTCACAACGCAGCTGTAGAATGCCTTAACCGTGATTCCGTTCTCACTGCGCCGCGAAATCATAATTTAATGCAATGCGGCGTAGTTATTCGTCTAGCTATAAAGATCGTTCCCCAATTCGCTCAGAAGCCCACCTCTCTGCTTTATTTATTTCGGCTCGCTAACCGTCGTCTAGGTACATCAAAATCTGCTATCAATGTGATTTCTCTGTCGTCTGCCTGGGCTGTCTTCTCCATGGAATCCTGGCTCCGCAAATTGCTTCATCATCTAGAGTGCTTAACGGTTCGCACGCCTCTCGGCTTGGCCCGTCCTCAGGCCGAGAATTCGCTGGAATGCCTGGCCTGCTGGTTCTGAACAACTCTTTTTTTTGCGGTGCTAGCTACAGTTTTCATTCCACTTCCCTCGAATCAACTTTTCACTTCTCCAACTCGCTTGTGGCTCAAGCGCCCATTTCCCGAGCGGTGAGCTCATATTGTATGTTCCACCATTTTTCTTCCGTCTCAATGAGAATTCTCCGGCGTCAAGGTTGGTTTATTTTCAAGCTCCCATTACCGATGTTCGATTTCTTGAAAGCAGGCAAACACGATGGTGAGCCCAATCTGCGGCTTACTTTATATCTTAGTTTGATTTATTTCTTCACTGCAGACTCCGAACATTTGCGACTTTCCTCACGCAGGAAAGTTCAATCCTCGGAGTTTGACTTTCGGAATTGCTGCAACGAATCCTCATCAATCTCGTACATCATCCTACCGACTCTGCCCAGTCTATCCACAACGGAAGGGTTCAGCATTGTCCCACTAGCATTTTATTCTGTTATGGTCCAGGTCATGGAATAAATTTAATTCGATCTCTCCATGCGTTATTTTCAGAGCCCTGGTTGTAATTGTAAGTGCCGGAGCGAAGCGGAGGCTCGTCTTGTCTCCAAGTTGGCCGACTAGGTGCCTTTCTCCCGCATTCTTGGCACGCGCCTTTTCGATTTTATTAAGAATTGGTGTGAACCCCGTTGACGTGTTGCGAACCATACATTTATTGGCTTAGGTGGAATTCGGGGCACATAGCACGTGCCATACGAGAATGGGACCTGGGTGATTTTTTGTAGGAATCAGAGTAGATATAGACCACTGATCTTGAGATTTTACGACTGTTTCAGCCAGAAAAGGTGGTAAAACCTTGCCGCGCAAACTTCAGCTGTGCACAGCCAGCGCAGTTCCATTACAAAATATTCTAGCCACCCGAGTTTTGCACCCACACAGCTTAATTTCGCTGGTAGGCCGCATAATACCACATTATTCGATAATCAACATTCATCTCACCTTAGAAACGAACCCCCGACCAATATCCAGCTGCGAACGTTGGCGGTCCAGGACGAAATCAATTAATTAAGCGTAGCTCCAGTGCAACTACATGGGCTCAGTATCCCCGTATAATGCTCGATACTCCTCCTGAAATTGAGCAAGGAATTCGAACGCCGTATAAATATGGTCATCTGTGGGCCTGACACTCCATGCCTTGGGCTTGCGCTTCGGACTAAGGGGTGTTCTTAGACCAGGAGGTGGTAAGAGCATGTGTTACTCACTGTTCTCTTTCAGAGACTGATGGCTCGGGTGCCACAGCGGCTTCTGTCTTCTTGGATTTTGGCGCGGGAGCATCCTCATGTGTGTTGGATGCCTCTCGCTTTCTTGAAGAGCGACGAGTGGGAGGAGGGGGGATGGGAGAAGGTGCGGATGTGGGAACTAACAGTGAGGTTAGACTGTTGTTGCGGCTGAGTTAACAGAACCCTCACCAGAGACGACTAGAGGGACAACAATGTCCGAGTCACCCATGGACATTACTTCACCGTCGACATCAAGGTTCCCGGATTCGGATTGCGATGCCTCACTTGCATCTAGATCGTTCTGCTGCTCCAACGCATCCGGTTGAACGTCTAGTTCAACGGGTGCTTCGGGGGAAATGAATATATTGAGAAAGTATCAGTGAGCGCCACATACCTTCCAGCGGGATTATTCCATCTAGCTCCATCTCGTCTACAGTCATCTTCTTCTTCTTCGACTGCTGGGGCCGGCCCGTGGCAACTTTAGCTGCCACCAATGAAAGTGAATACGTGATCGCGGGAACAGAGACGAGGACGAGTACCTAGAGATTTCGACTTGCTTTTCTGGGTTACACGAACAACGCCGGATAAGCTAGTCTGTATTCTGCTCAGATTGATCTGAAACGTGGAGAAATTAGCTCACCTTCGCCTCCGCCATGAGTATGGCAAGCTCGGCCTTGGGCGGGCCTATGGCTTAGTTCGTTACGATTACTGGTCATGATACCGCTGGACAGAGACGCTCCAAACTGGTCGCCCACGGCATGATTGGCCTTTGCCGCCCGACAGAATATTAGTGAAGTCGGAAGATCAAGGGACGTGCCTCATCACAAAACTGCTCCAGAACTGTGTCGGGAAGGCGCATCAGAAGCGCTTCGAGTTCCGCCATTGCGTAGCGTAGCAGCGGCGAGAACGTGGGAGGGGAGAAAGAAGGATGGATACCGGATCAATACTGACAGCATTCACGAGCAATCCACGATAGCCGAGCGGTGTGTCGGGTTTCCTGGAATCGTGTCGGATTTTTTGAATACCGTGTCACTTGCGGCGAAATGTGTCGGATTTGCTGATTTGTGTGCGGGTTTTGCGGGATGTGTCGGATTTGCTGATTTTTGACAGTTGTGTCGCTGTGTCGGGTTTTTTATATCCTCCATTTTATTGAAGGCTCAGGAAGACTCTGGGATTTCGGTCTCTGCCTCTGTTAGGAAGTCCTCAACACTCCAGCAGCAAGCCGGGGTTCGACTTCCCGCACCCGAATGCGATTCAAACGAGCTTTCCTTTTATTTGAAAGGCTCAGCCTCGGAAGACTCTGGAGTTCGGTCAGTTGTAGAGGTACAGATAGAGAGAGGTACTCGGGTGTGGTGTACGGTGCGCCGCTGCATCTCTTACTGTAAATCGGGCCTACAAGCAGCAGGACGGGGTTCGACTCGCCGCGCCCGACTGCAAGCCGTCCAGTATTTTTATTATTAAAACATCAGCCATTCGACGGAATTTCGGTGGCTTAACGAGGTACGGATACAAGCAGGTACTCGGGTGTGGTGTACGGTGCACCGCTGCCTCTCTTAGGTAATCCCTGAGGTTTCAGCAGCAAGCCGGGGTTCGACTCCCCGCACCCGAATGCGGTTCAAACGAGTTTTTCTTTTTATTTGAAAGGCTCAGGAAGCCCCTCGAGTTTTGATCATCTGTAGAGGGGGACAGATACATAAAAAGGAATCGGGTGTGGTGTACGGTGCACCGCTGCCTCTCTTAGATAATGGCCATCACTCCAGCCGCAAACCGAGGTTCGACTCCCCGCGCCCGAATATGCGCGCAGCCTTTCATTTTATTTGGGACAAGCGCTCGCCGGCGCTTCGCGCCGGCTCCCACTTTATAAATAAGCGATGCCTGTCAGCTGACGGCAGACATGTGAGAGAGGTTTACAAATGGAGATACGGCTTCAGACAGGCTTAATCTTATAAAGAGAGTGAGGCTCAGGAAGACTCTGGAATTTCGGTCACTTGGAGAGGTACAGATACAGAGTAAGTACTCGGGTGTGGTGTACGGCGCACAGCTGCTACAATTGGGGTGACAATGGTCCAGGAAGCTTGATGTAGCTAGACGGGGTTCGACCCCCCGCATCCGAATGGGGATGAAGTTTTGAATTCTTTTCTTTCAAACAGGTGCCACGGAGGTGGTTTACAAGGCTCATATACAGAGAAAGGAATCGGGTGTGGTGTACGGCGCACCGCTGCAGTGATTGGAATTGCAAATGCCCGCCGGTAATGGGCAGCGAGACGGGGTTCGACTCCCCGCACCCGAATATTAATGTATCCACATTTTCTTTCATTTTGTTTGGAAGCTCGGGAAGACTCTGGGATTTCGGTCACTTAGGGTCCACGGCTGCCAATAGTGGTGTCTAGGTAGAGACTAATCTGAGCAGCAAGGCGGGGTTCGACTCCCCGCGCCCGAATTCTTCTGCTCTCTTGCATTTTTCCTTCTTATATTTTTGTTTCGTGGACTCATCAGTTCCTGTTTTCCAGAGATGAATTCGCTGGAAATAACCACGCTGTGGCCACACCGGTCGAGTCCGAGGACTTGCCGTGGGACCCACCTGCGCTCCGTTCGGGCTCCTACCGCTGACCCATTCCTCGCTATTTCCAGGACATCGTTCGCCATCGCCGGACACTCAGCGAGAGCCCGCACCTCGTCATCGCAAGAACACTCTCGCGTCAGCGCCAGACTCCACAGTCATCCCAACACGCTGACGCGAACGGGCTTACATCACGGATCGTCATGCGCATGTGAGGCTGTGCTCCTTCTTTGCGCCTGCGTGGCATCAGATTCAGCGTGCATGTTTTCAACCGTGATGCCAATGGCGTTTCATCGCTGACCTCGCCAGCCCGCTGGTTTCCGTCGCCCGATGGCCACTGCCAGCAAAGCAGCGTACGGAGCGGCCGTGGCATCGATCTTCCATTCTCAGTGCCCGTGCTGAGTCAGGTGTGTCAGCAGCCTTTACAGCACCCTTACGGATCCCGTGCGCTTGAGTAAGCCACACCCAACTCCGTTGCAAATCCGCGTCCGGGGGTATATATATAACGGTCCTCGTGTCTCGTCGCCCTTTCTTCACTCCGCCTACCTTTACCGTAGCCCACCCGCACGCACGCACGCGACACCATGTGCTTCCCTACCAAAAAGCAAAAGGCAAACTTTGACGCGGACGAGAAGCCCGCCGCCGCCGCCGCGAGCAAGACGCCCGCGAAGGGCAGCGCGGCGACGACGCTGACGGAGGCGCCTAAGGGCAAAGGGCCCAAGGTCGCCATCGTCATCTACACCATGTACGGCCACATCCACAAGAGTGCGTCCCCATTCCTCCCTCTCTAGTGCATGCGCTGACGCAGCGCAGTGGCGGACGCAGTGAAGAAGGGAATCGAGGAGGCGGGCGGCTCGGCGACGATGTACCAGGTCGCGGAGACGCTCTCGCAGGAGGTGCTCACGAAGATGTACGCGCCCGCGAAGCCCGCGCTGCCCATCATCACGCCGGAGGAGCTCGCTAAATACGATGCGTTCCTCATGGGCGTGCCCACGCGGTTCGGCAACTTCCCCGCGCAGTGGAAGGTGCGTTCCCTTGCCTTGCGTCTGTGTAGGGTCAGAGATTGATTGATGTTATCACAAGGCGTTCTGGGACTCGACGTCCGGCCTCTGGTCCTCGGGCGCGCTCGCGGGCAAGTACGCCGGCGCGTTCACCTCGACCGCCGGCCCCGGTGGAGGACAGGAGGTCACCATCCTCAACACCATTAGGTGCGTTCTCCCCGCCTCCCACATTTTTTAGCGATGACGCTAACGCACGTATAGCACGCTCGCGCACCACGGCGTCCTCTTCGTCCCCCTCGGCTACGCGCACGCATTCAAGCAGCTCACGGGCCTCGACGAGGTGCACGGCGGCTCGCCCTGGGGCGCCGGCACGTACGCCGCCTCGGACGGCTCGCGCCAGCCGACGCCGCTCGAGCTCGAGGTCGCCACCATCCAGGGCAAGGCGTTCTGGGGCGTTGTCAAGCGCGCGTTCTGAGTCTTATGTTACCCACGTTGGGATACGGGGTGCGAGGATGTAGAGGAGGAGTGCGAGGATGATACCCCGGACGCGGACACGGAAAACATGCACATGCCCATGCGCTCTCATTACACGATGATACGATAGAGCGATTAATCGATGAGGACGATTCTACGAGTACATGGGGGGATGTGAGATGAGTTGTGTGCGTCTTTGCGCTTACGCTGGGGCCAGTGCCGGGACCTGAGTGCACACGGCGGCGGGTGGGTGGAGAATTAAGAATTAAGATGGGAAGGATAGAAAAAAAAAACGGTAGGACCGATCGAAATTATTCGGGTGCGGGGAGTTGAACCCCGTCTCGCTGCTTGATGCTGAAGATCGAACACTAATTGCAGCAGCGGTGCGCCGTACACCACACCTGATTCCTTGCTCTCTCTTCGACCTCTACAAGTGACCCAAATTCCGGGGCCTTCTCAGTCTTCCCATAAAAAGCAAATTTCCCTGCAGATTCGGGCGCGGGGAGTCGAACCCCGGCTTGCTGCTTCAAGTTTCGACAACGAAGGATTTGGAGCCGCAGTGCGCCATACACCACACCCGAGTATGGTAGCAGACATGACTTTATGTCAACCCGCAGTTTTGGCTTGAGAGCTTTTAGACTCGAGATTTAGCAGGAACACAGGGTAGTTTTATAGGTAAAATTTTCGTTTCAGAAAAATCGGAGATACCTCTGCTTATGTAATCAAAAGCGCGAAATCCCGACCGGAAAAATCAAAAGTTTGTGGGCAAATATATCGATTTGGAGGACTGCTTGCGATGCAGCTCCACATAGGACAGCTCTTCCAGGCTCTTCTGAGGTTGTTAATGAGATGGCAGGCTAATGGGAGGCAAATCTGAGCCTTGGGGCGATAATTGATCATATCACACAGCCACCGGAAGTCCGGCCCGGGATCAAAAGCGCGAAATCCAAGTGATAAAAACATGAAATGATATTTTCAAAGTTGTGTTCCGGCAGATCGTTAGAGGGTGTTCTTCTGCTGCCATTTGTACAGTTTGCTTGACTATTGGGTGAAAACTGGGGTGACAGTAGTGATTACCAAATTGGGACTCAGACTTGTCACGAAGTGATGTCTGCTACCATACCTGCTTGGGTTTGTACCTCGCTAAGCCGCCGAGATTTCATCCGGTGGCTGAGGTTTATCAAAATTAACGCGGGGACGGTAAGGTCGGGCGCGGGGAGTCGACTCGCTGCTCAACTCAAATGAAGCAATAATTTTCAGCAGCAGTGAGCCGTACACTACACCCGATCCCTTGCTCTCTCTTCAACCTCTACAAGTGACCCACATTCCAGGGCCTCCAGTCTTCATATAAAAAGCGCAATTCATCGGCATATTCGGGCGCGGGGAGTCGAACCCCGTCTCGCTGCTCGGATTCCTGCTTATGTACCATGTTAATATTTGCAGCGGTGCGCCGTACACCACACCCGAATACCTGACTATATAGGTACCTCGTTAAACCACCCAGACTTCATCGGGTGGCTGAGGTATATCAAAACTAATGTGGAAACTGTTCAGGTCGGGCGCGGGGAGTCGAACCCCGTTCTGCTGCTCACCGATTGGATGAAGAGATGGCAAGGATTGCAGCGGTGCGCCGTGCACCAGAACCGAGTACCTGCCCTGTCCCTGTATCACGCCAGGTGATATTCATTCGAGCGGTTGCCAAGAAGTAAAATGAGCGAGTTAAGCGGGATTCGGGTGCGGGGAGTCGAACCCCATCTCGCTGCTCGAGATCTGGTGCGACTTCATAAACAGGTGCAACGGTGGACCACACCCGAGTCATGGCTTAGGGATGTACCTCGTTAGGGGAACTTCCTTCCATCCCGTGTTCGAGTCTCAAACCATAAAAAAAACGCTGAAGGCTCACAGTATATTCGGGCGCGGGGAGTCGAACCCGGGCCTGCTGCTTCAACGATCCCGAGTCTGTAAGAGAGGCAGCTTTGCGCCGTAGACCACACCCGAGTACCTGATTGTGTTTGAGCCTCGTTAACCCAGACTCATCCGAGCGGCTGCCAAAGAATAAAATGAACGAATTGCCCACTATTCGGGTGCGGGGAGTCGAACCCCGGCTTGCTGCTGCTTTCATCAAGAGTTTTTAAGAGAGGCAGCGGTGCATCATACACCACACTCGATTCATGGCTTAGGGATGTACCTCGTTAGGCGAGCTTCCTTCCATCCCGTGGTCGAGTCTCAAAGAATAAAACAAAAGTTCATGCAACCTTGGACATTCGGGGGCGGGGAGTCGAACCCGGCTTGCTGCTTCGATGACGGGAAATTTTGAAGAGAGGCAGCGGTGCGCCATACGCTACACCCGAGTACCAGTCTTTATCTAAACCTCATTAAGCTACCGAGATATCATTGGTTGGCTGAGGTTTATCAAAAGAATTCAGGGACGGCTGAGGTCGGGCGCGGGGAGTCGAACCCCGGCTTGCTGCTTCAACGATCCCGAGTCTGTAAGAGAGGCAGCGGTGTGCCGTACACCACACCCGATTCCTTACTTTCTCCTCAACCTCTACAAGTGACCCAAATTCGAGGGCC